AACCCCTTATTTTTCCTTTAAAAAAAAGGCACATTTTTTTCAAAAGCCCCTTTATTTTTCTTAAAAACCCCAAATTTTTCCACGACCTCTCAATGTTTTCCTTTAAAACCCCCTATTTTCCCTTTAAAAAGCCCCTTTTTTTCCGCAAAAAAATCCTTAACTTTCCCTTTGAAAAAAATACATTTTTTCACAAAACCTCCCTATTTTCCCCTAAAAACCCCCCACTTTTTTCCCCAAAACCTCCCCTATTTTCCCTTTTAAAAAACCCAATTTTTTTTCCACGACTCCCCTTTTCTTTCCCTTAAAAACCCCTTTTTTCCCCACGAACCCCCCCTATTTTTTCCCCTTAAAAAAAAAAACCAATTTTTTTTTTTCCTCCTCCAAATTAGGGCCTTTTCCCCCAAAAATCCCCGGGATTTGCGGCGTTGGGGCCGGATATGATGGAGCTCCGGCTCGGGCTCCGCTCCCCCCGCCCGAATATCCGGCCCATTGTTCGGGGGGGGCCGCGCCGTGTCCGTGTTTTGTTCCCTCGGGACTCCTTTGGATCCAGAAATATTTGGAATGTCCAACCTGCGGGAAGGAGGAGGACGAGGAATTTTATTTATTTATTTATTTTCGTTCCCTCCCCCTCCTTTTTTTTTTTTTTTTTAAATTTTTTTTTTTTTTGGAAGTTGAGGGGGGGCAAAAATGACTTTTTTTTTCTTTTTTTTGTCCGTTCGGAGGGAAATTTCCGGCTGGAAACCCAACCCTGCTCCTGGTGGGAGCGTGAATGGGCGCCCCGCTGCGGGGAACAATATGGATTTGGGATGAAAAGCTTTTCCCGGCGCTTCCCTGGAGAGAGCCCGGAACTGAGGGGAGACGGGAGAGGGATCCATGAGGAACGGCGGCTCCGGGAGCAGGGGGGGAATTCCAGGGGGGGAGAGAGGGAGCCGAGATGAGGCGGCATTGGGGGGGTCTATTCCATTCCCAAATGATATCCCAAATGATATCCCAAATTATAGGGAGCCAGGGATGAGGGGTGGATATGGAATGTGGGATCCATCCTATCCCAAAATTATAGGGAGCCAGGGATGAGGGGTGGATATGGAATGTGGGATCCATCCTATCCCAAAATTATAGGGAGCCAGGGATGAGGGGTGGGATATAAAACGGGGGACCCTTCCTGTCCCAAATATTAGAGGGAGCCAGGGATGAGGGGTGAGATGAGGAATGTGGGATTACAGGGATCAAGGGAGGAGGGGTGGATCCTAAAAATGATAGGGATACAGGGATGAGGGCTGGAATGTGGGACTCATCCTAAAAATTACAGGGATCCAGGAAGGAGGAATGGATGTGGGATCAGGGATCCAGCCCACCCCAAATGATAGGGATCCAGGGATAAGGGGTGGAATACGGACTGTGGGATCCATCCTATCCCAAAATTATAGGGAGCCAGGGATGAGGCGTGACATGTGGAATGAGGGATCCATCCCATCCTAAAAATAAGGGATCTGGGGATGAGGGTTGGATATGGAATGGGAGACCCTTCCTGTCCTAACAATTATAGGGATCCAAGATGGATGTGCATTGGGGGATCCATCCTATCCCCAAATTATAGGGATCAAAGTAGGAGGGGTAGGAGGAGAAATGGGGATCCATCCCATCCCAAAAATGATAGGGATCCAGGGATGAGAGGGGGGATGTGGGAGCCATCCCATCCCCAAGTGAGAGAAATCCAGGGATGAAAGTTACTTATGGAATGGGGGACCCTTCCCGCCCTAAAAATGATAGGAATCCAGGGATGAGGGGTGGGATGAGGAATAGGGGACCCATCCCATCCTAAGAATTATAGGGATCCAGGGATGAGAGGTGGATGTGGGATGTGGAACTCATCCTATCCCAATATTATAGGGATCCAGGGATGAGGGGCTGGATGGGAGATGGGGAATCCATCACATCCCAAAAATTAGGGATTCAGGGATGAGAGCTGGATGTGGGATCCACCCTATCCCAAAATGATTAAGGATCCAGGGGGGAGGCGTGGGATGAGGAATGGGGGATCCTTCCCATCCTAAAAATTACAGGGATTCAGGGATGAGGGGTGGATTCAGGAGTGGGGGTCCATCCCATCCCAAAATTGGATCCCAGCTCTGGGATTAGGGATTGGGGATGCCAAGAGGATCCCAATCCTTATCCCGGGGAGACTTTGTCACCTGCCGTGGCTTTTTTGGGCTGAAAAGGGCAGGATTTGGGCCATGAACTTCTTGAGGTGCTTGTGGGAAGGGATGGAATCTGGGAATATGGGATCCCTGGGACAGGAAAGGGCAGGAAAAAAAGGGGGTGAGGGTAAAAAGAGAAAAAAAACAGGAGAAAGGGAATAAATGGAAAAAGGAGGAAAAACAGGGGGAAAGGGGTGAAAACTGGGGAAAAAGTGTGGGAAGGGGGATGAAGGGAAAGAAAGAGGGGAAGAGGGGAAGGAAGGCGGAAAAACCAGGGGGAAATAGTGAAAAACAGGGAAAAGTGGAAAAGGAGGGAAAACAGAGGAAACCCAGCAGGTATCAGAGGAAAAACTGCGGAAATGGGGCAAAATGGGGGGAAACTGGGGAGAAATGGGAAAAATGGGGAAAAAGAGAGGAAAAGGGGGAGAAATCAGAGAGAAACAGGAGAAACGTGGGAGAACAGAGGAAAACGGGAGATGGATGAAAGGGGGGAAAACATGGGTGGAGGGGACAGGAAAAACGGGAAAGGAGGGAAAATCAGGGAGAAACAGAGGAAAAACAAGAGAAGGGGGGGAAACAGGGGGAAACGGGAAAAAGGGGGGAAAGCGGGGAAAGGGGATAAAAGGGGGAAAACAGAGGAAAAACAGGGGAAAACCGTAGCAGCGCTCGGTCCCTCCCGGTCGGTCCCCGCGGGGCAGCAGCGGCCCCTCGCGGCACCGCCCGGGCAGCCCACGCGGGAAGGGGGGGTTAGCCCCGGGCACGGCCCCCCAGAGCCCCCAGTACCGCCCTAGAGCTCCCCAGTGCCACCCTATAGCCACCAGTACCCCCCGAGACCCCAGTACCCCCCCCAGAGCTCCCGAGTACTCCCCATAACCCCCAGTAACCTCCATTGCCCCCCCAGTACTCCCCCAGCCCCCCAGTGCCCCCATAGCTCCCATTCCCCCCTATAGCCCCCTACGAACCCCACATAACCCCCACAGTAACCCCCACAGCCCCCCACAGCCCTCAGTA